AAAATGTTCAGGGAGGCTCAGCTCCTTTGATTCTTTCCCCGTGTGCTGCTATCTTCCCGGAGACCCTATGTTAATGGACAAGGGGTGTCCTGGTCCCCAGAGGGTCCATGAGAAGTCGGCCTCTAGGAACAAAATGCTATTGGAATGAAATTATTCCATGTTGTTACCAAAATTATTGGTATTATTGAGGAAAGAAACCCTCTTTCCTGTCTCTTGTCTCAAAGAAGGAGGAAGTAAAAGTTGACATGTAGCAGGCATGAGGTCAGTGGCCTGGAGGTTAGAGATTAAAACCCTCTCCCACCCTTAAGATCTCAGGTGATCTTAAGGGTGGGGGTGATATGGAGAAACACCCTCTATTGCTCCCATTCAATCTTTCTCAAACCCCCACGCTTACTTCGTCGATCGTGACCCCCCCACATGTACTTTCTAAAACTGTAAACCCAAGACCCTTTCACATGTAGTATCTAGGGTTATAAGCCTATATAGAGGCAGAGGTTTCCTTTGTTAGAGGAGCGTGGCTGTTAGGCAGCTATGCCACCTTGCTCCCGGCCAAATAAATCACCCCTTCCTTCTCAGTTCGGTATCTGACAGGTCTGTTTCTTGCTGCCGCTCCTGCTTCATTGTTATTAAAATTACTTTGTTGGTTTTTTTTTTGAGACAGAGTCTGGCTGTGTCACCCAGGCTGGAGGGCAGTGGCAATCTTGACTCACCGCAACCTCCGCCTTCCAGGTTCAAGATATTCTCCTGCCTCAGTAGCTGGGACTACAGATGTGTGCCGCCATACCTGGCTCATTTTTATATTTTTAGTAGACACGGGGGTTTCACCATTTTGGCCAGGCCAGTCTCCAACTCCTGGCCTTGGATAATCGGCCCACCTCAGCCTCCCAAAGTTCTGGGATTACAGGCATGAGCTACCGGGCCAGACCTAAAATTGCTTTCATGGAAGAACCAGTCTGCTTTCCCTCGCTGGGGAGGTTACTGCAGTGCATGGGAGGGTATAGAGGTGCAGACTCAGTGTGACTCATTTCCCCTGGACAGCTCCCTCATTTGCCCCAGTGCCACACTGTATTTTTAGCCTTGGCCTTCTGCAGCACTTGACCTTTTGCCTGGATAGAACAATGTACTATGGAGGGCAAACCCACAGCCTTCCCTGTCCCATGCAACATTGGGAATAATGTATTAGACTATGCCTTCTTTGGAAGATCTGCAATTTAGGTAGGACAAAGTAAAACTGCTTACACACATAAACACACACACACACACACACACACACACACACACCTTTTGGTAACATTGCCGCCACCTCTTCTGCCATCTGCTGCAAGAGATTAGCATAATCTTAATATTTATGAAAACGTTTATAAAATGTGGACAAGAATCCTTGCACCAAAATATTAATTCCACTCCTTCTGGAATAAGGAAAAGAAACAACCTTTAAAAATAGAAGAGCAGTTAAATAAATCATGGGCTAACCGTACAATGAAACGTCATGTGGGTATTAAAATTAAAAATGATTACAAAGAATTTTTAATGAAATGGGAAAACCCTGATTATAAAATATTAAGTAAAAGGTCTTAAGCCAAAAACTATAAATACAACATTATTAACAACAGGCTATGACTGTGCTTATCTCACTGAGCTCCTTGCCGAAGCCTCAACCAAGAGCGAGCCCTTTAATTGTCTTCCACATTGAAGCCAGCGAGGTCTTTTTCATTTTTTTTTTTTTTTTTTCTTTTTTTGGGTCACTGGAGAGTCTGAGTATAGGGATTTCACCGTGTTGGTCAGGCTGGTCTTGAACTCCCGGCCTCAGGTGATCCACCCGCCTTGGCCTCCAAAGTGCTTGGATTACAGGCGTGAGCCACCACGCCCGGCCGAGAGGTCTTTTTAAATTGGAATTTAATGTTTTCCACTCTATACTCAGGCTCTCCAGTGACCCTCCTACTGATGTTCAGGCTCCTTGATGTGGGTTCCAGAGCCCTCTGCCGTCCTGGCCCCGCGCCGCCTTGGCACATGTGGGTGTCCTGTCCCCCGTCTTAAGCAGCGTGCTTTATATTGCCTAGACACTGGCGTGTGTTCAGAATGGAAAGCCTGTGTCTTCTTTTTGTCTTGGCATCTTCTTCTTGGCTGCTCCCAGTGCAGTCACAACCAGTTACAGATTTCTTTGTTCCTTCTCCACTCCCACTGCTTTACTTGAGTAGCCTAAAAAAAGAAACATCTTCTTCCTATCCTTCAGATGTCAGATTCGCCCCCATTTCCTCAGGAAGGCTTTCCCCCATCCTCACCGGGCTCTCCTCACCCTTCTCTGTGCTTCCATTCCTCTTTGCTTGTCCCCTTGTGGTGGCACCTATTGCCTTTTAAAGTAACTGCTGATTTCCTTACGAATCAGAGCTGGATGGACACTTGCCACATTCACTATTTGCTGCCAGGAACAGTGCCACAGGGTAGGCCCTCATTAATTGTGGAAAAATCAGTAGTGACAAGCTCCCATTGGTTAATAGAAATTTTCTCTCCGAGGTATTCAATTTTGAGTGGTTTACAATTTCTTATATTAAAACAAGTTTTTTTAATGGTAGTAAAAAAAATCACCTGACATTAAATTTTACGGGTACCATGGCTCATGTCTGTAATCCTAGCACTTTGAGAGGCTGAGGTGAGCGGACTGTCTGAGCACAGGAGTTCGAGACCAGCCTGGACAACATGGTAAAACCCCGTCTCTACTAAAAATACAAAAATTAGCTGGGCGCACAGCTAACCCCAGCTACTTGGGAGGCTGAGGCATGAGAATCTCTTGAACTTGGTAGGCGGAGGTCTCAGTGAGCAGAGATTGCACCACTGCACTCCAGCCTGGACAACAGGGTGAGACTATGTCTGAAAAAATAAAAATATATAGATATTAAATTAGTTTTGCCACATCAACCATTGTTTAGGTGTAAAGGTCAGTAGCGTTAGGTATACTTACACTGTCGTGCAACAGATCTGTAGAACTTTTTCATCTGGAAAAACTGAAACTTTTGTAAACAAAAATGAAATTCTAAGTTTCCCCAAGGGACTGAATGGACCCTCTCTGAGCCAATGGGACTCCAGAAAAACCTGAAAAAGTGAATTCCCAGCCGTCCTGTGAAGGGAGGTAGGTCACACCAACTGACCAGCATTCACATTGCAATAGGGATATTAGGCTGAGAAAACAGACTCTTTGTGGCAATAAGCTGCCAAATTCCAACCCTGCTCTGGTATTGCATCACATGACAGATGGCAAACCTTGAAGAAAATAAAATTATTTTACCCCAAAATATATTTCTTTGACATATTTTGACATGATCCTGCAAAGCCTTTTTTTGTGGGAGAAATTTGCATCTGTGGAGGATTTCTGTTAATGAGGCCAGGACTTTCCTGGATCTAGGAGAGATTAAGAGTCTGACACCTTTTTTTTTTTTTTTTTTTGGGGAAAAAACCTCCCCCTGTCCCCCCGGCTTGGGTGGGGTGGCACGATCTCGGCTCACTGCAACCTCCACTTCCTGGGTTCAAGCGATTCTCCTGCCTCAGCCTCCCAAGTAGCTGGGACTACAGGCACGTGCCACCATGCCCAGCTAATTTTTTGCATTTTTAGTAGAGATGGGGTTTTACCACGTTGGCCAGGCTGGTCTTGAACTCCCGACCTCAGGTGATCTGCCTGCCTCCCACTCTCAAAGTGCTGGGATTACAGGTGTGAGCCACTGTGCCTGGCCTTGACACCTTTTACCATCTGAAAAGAGACATTTGCCATCTATTCTCTCTGGAGGCTGCCACCTGGAGGCTTGATCTACATAACAAGGACGTTGGCTTCTACAATCCCCCTTATCTTAACTCAAGCATTTCTTTCTATTGACTTCAAGTCTTTAGACAAAGCTTAATTCTTTCAACTAATTACCAATGAGAAAATCTTTGAATCTACCTATGACCTGTTAAGTATCCGCTACCCAACCCACCTCCTGCTTTGAGATGTACTGACTTTCCAGGTTGAACCAATGTACACCTTACATGCATCGATTTATATCAACACCTCTTGAGACTGTTCCCTGGGCCATGGTCACTCACACTGGCTCGGAATAAACCTCTGTAAATGTTTTACAGAGTTCGGTATTTTGTCAAAACTCTACATCCACTAAACACTAATTCCTCTCACTCTTTCTTGGTAACTTCTTTTCTACTTTCTGTTTCTATAATTTTGATTACTTTAGATACTTCAGAGGAGAGGAATCATACAGTATTTATGACTGGCTTATTTCTTTTCACATAATGTCTTTGAGAGTCATCTAAAAATACTTTTTTAATATGAACTCTATCATCTCTATAACTGGAAAAGAAGTTTTAACAGAATCATAGGAGCTGAAAATGACTCTAGAACTTATCTTGACCCATTTCCTCTATTTTATACTTTAGATTTTTCTAGATGATGTAAACCAAAAATAAAATTCTAAGCTCCCCAGCTGACTAAATGGGTCCCCTTCTCAGCCAAGGGCATTCCAAAGTTAACCTGAAAAACCGTGATGGGAAGGGGAGTTAGATATGCCTTCCTTATTATACCCTCCTCCCTTTGGAACCCAGGCACAACTGACCAGCATTAACATTAAAACAGAGATCTTCAGACTGACAAAATGCCCTTTGTAGTGATAAGATGCCAGATTCCAACCTGACTCCAGAATAGCATCACAGGACAGACAGCAGGCCCCAAAAACATCGAAGTATTTAACTCTGAAATATATTTCATTGACCTGTTTTTAAATGGCCCTGCAAAGCTGTGTCTTACAGGGAAAATCTTCACTCTGTATAGAATCCCCTTCCTTTTTCAGGTCTTTTGCTGATCCAGGACAGATTAAGAGTCTCGCACCTTTTTAAGTCTGATGAGAAACATTTACCATCTATTCTCTCTGAAGCCTGCCACCTGGAGGCTTCATCTGCATGAGAACTTTTGTCCCCACACACCTTTTCTTAACCCAGACATTCCTTTCTATTGATTCCAGGTCTTTAGATAGTAATTTAACGTTTTTAAACCAATTGCCAATCAGAAAATCCTTGAATCCACCTATGACCTGGAAGCTCCCGTTTCGAGCTGTTCTGTTTATCTGGACTGAACCAATGTACATCTCACATATATTGATTGATGTTTGCCTGTAACTTCTGTCCCCCTAACATGTATAAAATCCAGCCATAAATCAACCTCCTTGGGCACATGTTCTCAGGACCTCTTGGGGCTGTGTCACAGGCCTTGGTCACTCATATTTGACTCAGAAGAAACCTCTTTAAATATTTTACAGAGTAACTCTTTTCATCGACACTAGATGAGAAACCCAGAGATAGAAAAGAAACTTGTCTAAGGATAAAGATTAAATAATGGTAAAGTTGAGCCCCACTCATATATTGTGATATTGTGCCAGAATTGCTAGCCTTTGCTTTAGTTATTTAGTAATAACTAAAATAAGCAGCCCAGGATAACTAAGATCTGTGTGTAAACAAATGCTTATTTTGACTTCTGTAAACCACTGAAGTAACAAACAGAATGACAAAAGTCCCCTGGCCCTTGGAATGTCCGGAGACCCCCACCCTCGTCTCCACCCAGGAGGTGATTTACAGAATCCCCTGGACCTTGGAATGTCCGGAGACCCCCGCCCTCGTCTCCACCCAGGAGGTGATTTACAGAATCCCCTGGACCTCGGAATGTCCAGAGACCCCCGCCGTCGTCTCTGCCCAGGAGGTGAATCACAGAATCCCCTAGCCCTTGGAATGTCCAAAACCTTTTCATCCCCATCCCCGCTCCTCACCCCCACTCCCAAGGTGGTTTTCGGGTATAAAAAGTCGTGGCACCCTCCTTTTGATGCCACAGGTTGGAGAGACGTGAGTCCTCTGTGGTCGCCGGCATAATAAATGACCCTGCAATCTGGCATACTTTTGTCTTGGTGCTAACTTTCTACGCTCAGTCAAATATAACAATATAAATAAGTAATAAAAGTAAATTTTAATCCTTTACACATTATAACACTTTTCAGCCTTTTATTTTCTACTCAGTATTAGCCGTTTAAAAAATATTTCATTTTGTATTTGAAGCAAAAATGATCTGCCTAGAGAACACCAATTCTGTTAGGGATTGTGATTTTTCAATTGTATTTGTAAAGTGCATTCTACTAGTGGTCAGATTTGATATTCTGGGCATGAGGCATCCTGTTGGCATTAAGAGTAAAAGGTTTCTTCAGGTCTGTGGGATAATTTGATTCCTAAGCCACTCAGATCTAACAGGACTGCAGTCACCAGCAAAATGTCACAGAGATATTTTAGTGCAGCTGCTTCCAATTACACAACATTCTCTCCTCCTGAAAGAGAAAGATCCCATAAGTGACAATTTGTCAAATAACTACCAAAGATCCTCCTGTTTTCAGGGCCCAAACTAATTAGTTAGCTCAACAAACATGGATCCTGAGTTCACCACGTGCCCTGCTGTCATTCAGAGACCAATTTAAGACACATATTTCCTGAGCTGGTGAAAAAGAAAATGAAACAGTGCCATTGAGTGCTAAGGGTTGTAGAAGTTACGTAGTAAAATCCCTTCATTTTACTGCACATGAGGAACCGAAGTCCAGAGAGGGACCCAGAGGCAAATGGCGAGTCAGTAACAAGCTAGACCTTGAGATTCCTGCTTCTGACTTCCAGGCCAGGGCTCCACGCAGTGCCCTGTGTTTAAGGAGGATGTGACAGCTCCACGATCACATGTGGGCTTGGTGTGAGAAGGAGACAAAGACTCTCACTCAGCCTGCTTTTCTTAGTATTTTATTCTTCTTTGCTAATTTACTTGTCAGCATGATTTTCAGTCTTGTCTTAGCATCTGCACTGGTTTTGAATAATGAGGAGAAAACTCTGGAGATTTCCAGCCTGCAGTGATTTAAGCTAGCTTGACAGGATATTCCAACACTGATGGATTATCTTTCTTTCTTCCAATAGATAGAACCAGGAAAGGAAATTGCAAACCTTGACTGAGACTGGGACCCATGATACATAGTGTATTTACCTTGGTTTATGTGAAATAATGACTAAAACCTGCTTGGGGAGGATCTTTTTCTTGATGTTTTGGGTTTTATGACAAAGACAGGAATCCTTTCCTATCTCAATATGAAATTACAGCATGTTTTGGCAATTTTTCTACCACAGACACATTTTGCATGTTAAGATTTGAAGGGGACTAGACTCCAAAATGTTTTATTGTGCATTGCCCATAGAATAAAGTGCAGTGAAAATAATTTTAGAAATTCTGATTACATGATAGATTGCTTCACATTTTATATTACTGTATAACTTTATAAACTTATGTTAGTGATATAAAACTTAGTGAATATATGTACAAATAAATGATTGCAATTCTTTGAAATGTAGGCAAAAATGATCACATCATTATAACACTTTGTTCTGTAGGGTTGCAAGAAAAGAAATAATACCCTTTGGACAGAAAAGTACCCCCAGCCAGGTGTGGTGGGGTGTGCCTGTGGTCCAAGCTACTCTAGAGGCTCAGATGGGAAGATCACTTGAAGCCAGGTGTTCAAAGCTTCAGTGAGCCATGATCACGCCACTGCACTCCAGCCTGGGTAACAGAGTGAGACCTCATCTCAACAACAACAACAAAGTATCTCAATTATAAAAGTATCTCAATTTATTGCAGAATATCCACACAAATGAGAAATAAGTTTAAATTTATATAAATTAGTGGCTGGGCATGGTGGCTCACACCTGTAATCCCAGCACTTTGGGAGGCCAAGGTAGGTGGATCACCTGAGGTCAGGAGTTTGAGACCAGCCTGACCAATATGGTAAAACCCCATCTCTAAAAATAAAAAAATATATATATAATGAAAAAGAAATTATATAAATTAAGGGAATGCACGGTGTACCATTTGTTAAATACTGTCCTGTAACTATTGCTATTGATTGGATTCTCAGCAAAGTGATACTGTTAGGCAGGACTGGTACTGCTGAGTTCCCGTCACCATTCCATAGTCCCTCAACGGATGCTGTAATTTCAGTGTTACTCAAATGTTATTCTCCATTGGGCAGAAATTATTTTCTGTCTGTGACTTTTTGATAACATAGATGGTCAGAGGCTCCACGTTTCTCAGTGTGGTAGTCACCGGATGGATTTCGTGCTACACCAGGTCCCTGTTTTCCGAACTGCTCTCTTTCCAGAGATAAAAGCTGACATGGATCTTGCTGACAACATGTAGGATGGGAACCCACTGAAGCCCACTCAGTGAAAAGTCAACCAGCCAAGTGAAGGAAGATGAACAAGAGGGCAGAACTGGACGGCTGAGGGTCTGCTAATAAGTGTTCCCCAGAGAAAAATTAACTATCAAATATATCTGATGAATTTCCCCAAAGAAGTAAAGAAGCTTTGCCAGCACTGACTTTCAGTCTGCCAATTTTAGACTAGAAGTTAATTTGTCTCAACAGTGTTCACTTTGGCAGTTACACCGTGCTATGCTTACTTAGGTGCCAGAGTTTTGTAGGCAAAAGAAGGGTCGAGTTCAAGCGACAGCTTTTTAGCTTTATGACGTTTTAAACAAAATGCTAATACTATTACCTTTCAGTATAGATAATTCAGTTCCCTCCTTTTGAGTAGACTCTGAAAATATTCTGGCTAAATAAAATTTGATCTAGGTTAGCTCTCATTTGACAGAGTAGGAAACTGAGGCACAGAGAGGTGAAGTGACTTTTTCCGAAATCTCATGGTTCGTTATTGTCAGAACCTGGACCAGAACTCAAGTTTCTTGATTCTCACTTCATTGCTCTTCCCTTCTTAAAATCTGTTTTCCTCAAATATGGCTTTTTACTCTGTCATATAAACATTGTCTCAGTCCCACATCTCAGCTCACCCTCATGGGTCCATCCTTTTCTGGCCTTTTTCTCCATGCCAGCTTCCTGGCAAGCTCTTTCGGGAGTGCAGTGGTGCCATCTCTACTCACTGTGAACTCTGCTGAGTTCAAGTAATTCTCCTGCCTCGGCCTCCCTAGTAGCTGGAGTTACAAGTATGTCCCACCACGCCTGGCTAATTTTTGTATTTTTAGTAGAGATGGGGTTTTGACCATGTTGGCCAGGCTGGTCTCGAACTCCTGACCTCAAGTGATCCGCCCCCCTCTGCCTCCCAAAGTGCTGGGATTACAGGCATGAGCCACCACACCAGCCCCTGGCAAGCTCTTTCTGAAGAGTAGACTGCTGCTCTTCTCACTCACTCGCTGCTCAGTCCACTGCTTTAGGCTTCTCCGCCCTTGAAGATGCTGTCTCCAAGGTGTCCAGTGACTCTGCACTGCCAGTGAAAATGCCCATCCTCCAGTCCTTAGTTCATTTGACTTCTCTGTGACATTAAACTCCACTATCCACCCATTCCTTCCTAAAACCACACCTTTTTTTCTTCTTGGCTTCTGTGATATCATCTCCTGGTTTTCTGCTCCCTCTGGCTTCTCCTTTATGGATTCCTTGGTGGGGTCTATCTTCTCACTCCTTAAATTCTCGTATTGCCCAGTTGCTTTTCCCATGTATATGTTCTTAGGCGTGCTCTCGGGGACATCGCGGCTTCAACATCACCGTTGTAAGGATGACTCTCATGCCTATGTGTCTGGCTCAGACTCCTCCTCTCTCCCCGTCCCCACTTTTTTTTTTTTTTTTTTTTTTGAGACAGGGTCTCACTGCTACCCAGGCTGCAGTGTGGCGGCACAATCGATCACAACTCACTTCACTCTCAAACTCTTGCACTCACGCGATCCTCCCACCTCAGCCTCCCAAGTAGCTGGAACTACAGGCGCACACACCATGCCTGGCTAGTGTTTAATGTTTTTATTTTTTGTAGAGTTGACATCTCCCCATGTTTCCCAGGCTGGTCTCCAACTCCTGGCCTCCAGCAGTTCCCCCACGTGGGCCTCCCAAAGCACTAGGATTACAGATGTGAGCTACCATGCCCAGCCTCAGATGTCTCTTTCCATTTCAGCCACATGTACCTATGATAAGCCTCACCTAAAATTCATCACATTCAAAACCTGTGCCACTTCCTCCACCTTCTGTATCTCGGTGTCTGTACAAGTCAGAAAACAAAGTATCCTAGACTCCCCATAATCCTTCAATTCGCATTTAACAAGCCACCAAGTAGCATAAACCTATTGCCCTACCATCTCTCCTGTCTTCTCCCGTGTCTCCGCCTGTGATCAGACACTGCTTGGCTTTCCTGGATTGTAGCAGGAGCCTCTTAGCTGCCCTTTCTACCTCCAGTCTGCCCACCTCTACCTATTGCTGGACCCCCACCCCCAATACTGCAGGATGTATGACTCTTCTATTTATTTATTTATGTGAGATGAAGTCTCACTCTGTTGCCCAGGCTGGAGGGCAGTGGTGTGATCTTGGCTCATTACAACCTCCGTCTCTTTGCTGCCAGCAATTCTCCTGCCTCAGCCTCCTGGGTAGCTGAGATTACAGGTGCGTGCCACCAGGTCCAGCTAACATTTTTTGGATTTTTAGTAGAGACTGGGTGTCACCATGTTAGGCAGGCTGGTCTTGAACTCCTGACCTCAGGTAATCCACCTGCTTTGGCCTCCCAAAGTGCTGCAAATACGATTAGAACTCTTCGGCATGCATGTCAGGTCTGGCATTCTCTGGGTATGGCCTTCCTCCCCCGCCTCACCTCTCTTCACCCCCCACATCCACCCTCCACCTCGGCCACTCCAAACCATGTAAAAGCTCTCAGATGCACTGCGCCGTTTCTTGCCTCCAGTTCTCTTAATGTGCTGTTCTCGAACTTGTCCGCCCTTTTTTCTCATTAACTCACACTCGTCCTTTAAGTTCAGTTTAAGTGTCACTTCCTCTAGAGAGCCTTCCCACCTTCTTCCGTCTGACTTAAAGGCCCCCTCCTCCCTGATGCTTTCACAGCACCTGTTTCATACCCTATGATCATTTGCTTCTAAAATGTAAACTCCTTAAAGGCTGAGTGCACTTTTAGCCTGGTGTATGAATATTGCATTTACAAATTTTACTTTACATTTTCCAATGATGTACCATATGCATGATAGCACAAGGTGATTATGCCCCAAATTTCTCTGCTTTCAGGAGTTCCAGGTGTGGAGCCTGGAGGCATGGGCAAGATCATCTTCTACTGCTCGGAGCTGGGAGCTGCCTCCACCTCCTTCCCCTAACCGTGCCCCCCATCTCTCTCTACTCTTGCGAGTGAACCCCATGGCCAAGCAGCTGTGGAGCGTGGAAATGAGATGTCTGTGTCCCCTGCTCCTGGACTGCCACAGCTTCCCAGGCTATCTTGGCCGCTCCCTATCCCCGCTCCAGCAAGACTGGGTGAGAGGGAAGGCGTTGATGCTGGTCCTGCTCACTGGCCCCTTTGGGGGAGATGGCTGGCCCCAAGACAAGAGATGGTGGTTCTCTGAGCATAGAAGGTGGGAAACTTTTTGCCTTTTCTTTTCTAAGTCAATTCCAGAAGTAACGGTAATAGCTAAATGCTTCTTGTGGGCCAAGAGCAATTTTGAATTTTTTACATTTAATCCTTATGGTATTAAATGATGAATAAATGATAAATGAAATGGTATTTATGATGAATAAATTAGACTTATTATTCTCAATTGACATATGAGGAAATTGAGTGAAAGAAAGGTTAAGTAACTTAACAAAGTCACCAGCTAGTGAGTGGCAGCCCAGATGCAAACCAAAGCAGGCTGGTGTCAGAGACCCTCTGTGTGCCCATGGGGCTCCATGGCCCCTCTCCTCAACCAGCCGTTACAGGGAGGTTCACTGACACCCACCGGCGGTTGCCCGGAGCAGTGCTTGGCAGCCAGGCACTCCTCCCTGAGCCTCAGTTGTTGGGAAAAGCAGCAAAGGAGACAGGACTTACAGAGTGCCTGCATAAACTGGTTATGAGTAACACATAAACAAGGAACAACAAACTGCGGAAGGCCGAAGGAGGCCTCTGAGGAGGACGGCCCCTTCATGCCTCATGTTCCAGTGCAGGGTGACCTTGGCTCTCTTGCCATCAACATTGTGCTCAAGGACGTAAAACCCCTTTGTAGCACTATGACGTAGCCAGACTTGTAGGCTCCTTGTAAGCTCCCCGTTCCACCAGCTGCACATAGATAACAGGCTAAAAAGAACCACATGTTCCTGTTTTGTGAAACTCCCAAACTGCCACTGTTATCAATCCTTAGGATGACCCATCAGTTCCAGCCACTGATTCACTTCCAGCTCACTGGTTCACTCCACCATCACTCCACCCCTCCCTATAGATCAAAGTGATTGTAATCAATAAATAGAGTGGATGATCAGAGCTCGGAGCCTTCACTGTCTCCCCAGTAATAAGTGATGGCCCCCTGGTCCCACTGTCTCTCTTAATCTGTCTTTTTCTCATTCCTTGTTGCCACTGGACTCAGGGTACCCACGGGTGAGGTAGGGCTGGCTCCCTACATTCTGGTGCCCAACGCGGGGTCATGGATCCCTACAGTCAGTGACTACTGTCGTGATTCCCTTCTCATTTGACTTTACCTGCTGGATATGGTCTTCAAGTTACATCGTCCCTCGGCTGGACCCCCATGGCTTTTCAAAAATGTTTCCCTTAGAGTTTAATCATTCGTCCTCTGCCCAGTATTTTATGCTTTCATACCATTTACTTTCATTTGCTTTTACTAACTGCTTTTTTTAATTGAGAAAGTAATATGTACTCACCATAAGCTATGTTGACGGCAAAAAGGGGACAGTATGTGGAACAAAGGCACACATTTTGTTCACAACTTACATGTGGTGATAAAATGTATGTTTTTTTTTTTTTTTTTTTTTGGTCTGTGACTATTCTAGCCTTCCTTCTAACTCCACCCTCACCTCACCTCTCTGCCACGCCCACCCACAGGCTAATGGCAATAATAATAAAAACAACTCAATGTCTGACCTTGGTTCAGCCTCGGTGTGCCTGGTAGTTTCAGCTGTCCTTTAGTGGCAGGGGAGGGGGAGCCTGTCTTGGAGGCAAAGGTCCTTCTCGGAGAGACCCTGTCCTTCACCCTGCTCCTCTCAGTGAGGAGCACGCAGGGAAGCAGTGCAGCTGCACCACCTGGAAGCCAGCATTCTCGGGTCTACCGGGTGTCTGTCTGCTGTCCCCTGGCTCCCTGTGCCCCTGAGCGATGCTCTCTACCCATCTGTTCAAGGAGACCCTGCAGACCCTGTGCTGAAGTTGAGTGTGGAAGTCAGGGTCTTGTGTGGGAGCAGTGCTCCTGGTGGGTCTTCCTGGCTGCCCTGACCTCAGCCAGACTCCTGACAGCCCTGCCACCCTTCTGGGTCTGGTGAAGCCTCCATTCAACCCTACTCAGTTGGTCTTTCTGTAGCCCTCCACAAAGCCGGTTTACCCTGGCCACAGCAGCTGCCTCTGGTCGCTTGCCAGCCAGGGGCTGTCAGCACAGGAACCCAAGAGCAGCTCAGGAAAGTGAGGCATGGGTCCTTCTTTCTCTTGATCACAATACATGACTAAAGTGTGTCTCACTGTGGCTGTGCTGGGTTGGAACGGGACACCCCACCAGTCTGTGCTTCCCAGAGTCCCAGGCAGAGTGCTCTGGGAGGGTGCGACTTCTCTCTCTGCCCTTACTGTTACTTGCACTTACCTTTCTTCACCACCCTCCTGGATGTGACAGGCCTGTCACTCACTGACTGGAGTGTTATTTTCTTTACTGTGTGAGAGAATCCAGTGTGTATGAATCCTGAGGCTTGGGTGCTCGTACATGCAAGGGGCAGATGAAGGAGTCTGATTTCTTCTTTTTTCCTTAGTAACGTTCTGTTTTCAGATATTAGTGATTGAAAATTGCTTCAGTCCTTCTTTAGGCATTCCTTTCATAATGTGTAAGTTTGAATGATTCTTGGCTGCAAATGACAATATCCGACTAAAAGTGTCTTAAATGATTAAGACACTGATCATCTCAAATGACAATGCTGGGTGCCTGGGCTCCAGGGTTGGTTTGGCAACTCCAGACCACCAGGCACCCAGCCTCCGGCTGCCCCGTGCTCTGCCATCCTCAGCATGCCAGCTTCTCATGGTGGGCTGAGCCCTCGGCC